CATCTCGCGACCACAGCACCGCGGCTGGACTCGAGTTCCAACTCACGGGGCGACAGCAGGGATCGCAGTACAGCGGCCACGCGAAATCTCCCCCTCCCATCACCCTCCCCCCAAAAATAATCCTCATCGCCACCTCTACACGACGAGTGGGTCCGGTCGCTATTTTTATCCCTCCACCTGTCATACCTGGCGCTCGGGTTGCCCAGACAACAAACGCCGCCCCCGCCCCCCTCCTCTCCCGCGACGATTACGACGTCAAACATTCCCGAGACGACGTTTCGTGTCACCCCCGCAGGTGAGTGAGGAAGCTTCGCTGAGTCACGTGACTCCCTTGGAGTGACTCCAAGGGTGGCACAGTCGGGTTTTTTTACAATCGGGTTTAATTGTCTTTTTATATTAAACCCAATCATCTGAGATTGGGAGAAATCCGGTTTAATTGGTTCTAATTGTAGAACCGCACTTCGCCAACTTCTCAACGATGGGCTTCATCCATCCCAAGCTACGGAACTCACTGGCGCCCACGATTGTGGAGGAGAAGCTCGTGTTCATCAAGACCAACCTGCCCGCCGCATTCTACGACTACCCCGTGCCCGACGGCCCCGAGTACGATAGCAGCACCGACGAGGAAGCAGCCTAAGCCTTGGATCAGAGTTTCGTATTCATTAAACCAGGTTTTAATTCCTCGAAATCGGGTTTAATTGTATTAAAGAAAAAACCCGATGCCTGCCGCTGGAAAAATCGTGTTTTTTTCCGACCCATGCGTGACTCGTCTTCAGAGGTGTCCTGTGGTGTGCGTGTGGTGTGCGCTGCGATGTTTTTTAATTGTCTTTCTTTCGACAATTTGCCACCGTTAAAATTATCACCGTGACGCCGGGCAAACGACGGGGGCGAACTCGTGCGAAAGAATTCGCCTGCATCTTTTGACGTCGCATATTTTGTTGCCACCACCACCATTTGGTATTGGCAAGAGCACTCCTTGTAAACTATGAGCCACCCACACCCCCGCCCTATCCAACGCAACCATTGTATATTGTCTACAAACTCGTGTATGTGGTGCGTGTGTGTTGTGTACGGAGAGCTGCGCTTAGAACCCTGGCGACGCGAGTTCGAAACTCGCTCACGGCCATCAACACCAGTGACGATTATCTGAACCTCAGCCTCAAATGAGTACCTGGTGCGGTGAGTCGAAACATCGCCACTAGGGAGACAAAGGCGGCCGGGCGTGGTGTTGACCACCCACCCCCTCGAGTGCCGTTCCAGCCTTCATAGGTGCTCGCTAACAGCACTTGCCCCAACAGTCTGTTACTGCTATACGGGGGATTTTTGTCTTTGTGTATGGAGCGCTGCGCTACAAACCCAGCGACCCGCGTTCGATACCCACTCACGGCCACCAACACCAGTGACGATTATCTGAACCGGTCATGGGCCTCTCCTAGGTCTACTCAACCTCAAATGCGTGGTGTGTAAACATCATTGCTGGGGAGACGAAGGCGGCCGGGTGTGGTGCTGGCCACTCGCACCCTCACTGTGCCGTGCCGGCCTTCACAGGTGCTCGCGAAGAGCCCTTGCCCCAAAAGTGTCAAGGCTATACGGGGGATATTCTTAGGTTGTTTCGGTAAAGTCACGTAGGTAAAAAAAATTAAATGAAAAGTAATAAAAGTAACATAAAAATAAAATTAAAATCATGACGTTTCGGAGGCAACACAAGCTTCCGTCTTCAGGTGGAACCGTCACAGCACGATTGCTGTTTCAAGTAAGAGAAATTCCAAGAAAACAGTCTCTTTTAATTTTTTACCTACGTGACTTTACCGAAAAAACGTAAGAATATGAATCATTGCAGTCACGAAAGCTTCAAATCTAGATTTTATGCGGGGGATCTTTGTCCGTGTGTGTATGTATCACGTGGGTTCTACGACTCTGTCTCAGTGCATAAATGATCAACAGCACTAGTCGAATTGCAACTCAGAGGTTGCCGGTTCGATGCTATCCCCCCGGCGCCGGAGCGTGGCTTGATCGCCGCATCCCGCACACAAAGGAACGCTCTGAACAAAGGTCGAGGGGGTCCTGGCCCTTGGCGCTCACCTCACGCAGAGAAGACGCGGAGCCCACCCAGGTATGATGGCATTTGAGATGGAAACAAGCGGTATGCAAAGATAGGATTGAATGGGAGTCAGAGAATGAGAGAGAGAGAGAGAAGGGGAGAGGCAAGGTTACACGTACAAAGAACCCCATGCAGCCTTTTACGGAATGTGGGGGCAAGTGCTATTAGCGAACGTCCTGTACCGATAACAATACAAACACACAACAGCGCCAGGCCTGGCTTTTGTATCCCCGGTGGCGATGTTTACACACCTCGCCAGGTACTCATTGGTGGATGAGTCGACCTAGGGAAGGCACACGACCGGTTCAGATGTTTGTCAACCAAGCTAGGCCGTGAAACACACACCCACAGACACTCATCCACGCGTGCCCGGAACATATACAATCGCTGCATATAGCCACCACCACCAACAACAACAGCACAACCATGTACTTGACTACCATCCACTCACCACACCACCATCCATCACTCGCCACCCACCATCCATCACACCACCGCTTAGCACCACCAACACCATTACGAGCCACCCACCCCTCACGCCCTCCACCACCTACGACCACCGTAACTATCCACCCACCACAACCACGACCTACACCACCTACGACCACCGTAACTATCCACCCACCACAACCACGACCTTTGGGGGCTTTACACCGCCAGGTATCAAGGTGCGCATTCTGGTGCTGGCGGCATGGTGGGTGATGTGGCGGCATCGTGAAGAGGCGTGAGTGTCGTCTGGTCAAATAAAACCCACGCGGCGTGGTGGGGAGGAACGGGGGGGGGGGGGCTTCATCTGGCAGTGGATAGATCGTGGCCAATAATGATGTAATAATTGTTTTTTTACTCTTCTATCTGGCAACAAAACTGACACCTTTTTTTACAAGGAGTCATTTTTGCATAGACCACAATACCTGCAGCCATAATGCAAACAAAAAACATAACTCTGATAATATATGCACTGTCCTTGAAGTTGATTGGTCCACACCCGAGACAGCTTTCCTTATAGCCGAGTCTCACATGGGTTGGACCAAATGACGCCAAAAGGCGCACAACTCAAAGACAATGCACCATCAGAGTATGAGAGCTCGGGGTAAGCATTTATATATATTATCAGAGTTATGTTTTTTGTTTGCATTATGGCTGCAGGTATTGTGGTCTATGCAAAAATGACTCCTTGGAAGAAAAAGGTGTCAGTTTTGTTGCCAGATAGAAGGGTAAAAAACAATTATCATATTTTTTACTGGCAAATGAGGTTTCAATGGTGGAATAACGATGTAGTTATGACGACTCGGCAAGCAGCCGTCTGTGGTTGCCGCGTTGGCAGCGATTCGCAGATACCCCACACAGGCAAACTCGCGTTCGTCACCAGCTGCCCCGCGGCGCTCACCCCGAGTGGTCTATCGGGGGAGCCCCCTCCCTCCCTCCCCCGGCCCCCATCAACCCCTCCCAGCCCCCTTCCCCCGCCCCCCCAGGGAGCAGCGACTCAATCGCTTTGGTGTGCGCGCACGCGCGCGCCGGGAGCGGTGGGGCAGTGGTTAGCGCGCCGCGCTACCAACCTGGGCGAGTCGAATTCCGATTCCCGCTCACGAACACCAACACCGGTGACGAATAATCTGAGCCGGGTGCTGGGCGACCCCTAGGCATCAAATGAGTACCTTTTTGCAGGGCAATCCTGTAGGTCGACTCAGCCTCGAATGAGTACCTGGTGCGGTGCGTCAAAACATAGCCACTAGGGAGACAAAGGCGGCCGGGCGTGGTGTTGTCTACCCACCCCCTCGTGTGCCGTTCCAGCCTTCATAGGTGCTCGCTAACAGCACTTGCCCCAACAGTCTGTTACTGCTATACTGGGGATTTTTGTCTTTGTACATGGAGCGCTGCGCTACAAACTCAGCGACCCGCGTTCGATATCCGCTCACGGCCACCAACACCAGTGACGATTATCTGAACCGGTCATGGGCCTCTCCTAGGTCTACTCAGCCTCAAATGAGCGGTGTGTAAACATCATTGCTGGGGAGATGAAGGCGGCCGGGCGTGGTGCTGGCCACCCGCACCCTCACGTGCCGTTCTGACCGGGCGTGGTAGGTGCTACTCGCTAACGCCACTTGCCCCAAGATTATGTTAAGGCTACACAGGGGGGGGGGGTTCTTTGTCTTTGTGTCGGTTAGGTGGTTGCTGGGGGAGGAGGGGTTGTGGCAAGGGGGTTGCGTGGCGATGTTGCGTCGTGGCGAGGTGAAGGAGGGGCGTGTACTCGTGGTGTGTAGCGAGAGTGTCTGTGTGTGTGACTGTGTGTCGTGGTGTGTGGGGGTCGAGGGGGAGCGGTGGTGTAGTGGTTAGCGCGCTGCGCCGAGTTCGATTCCCGCTCATCGGCCAACGCCACGGTGACGATTATCTGAGCCCGTCCTGGAGCTCCCCTAGGTCGACTCAGCCTCAAATGATTACTTGGTGCGATGTTTATACATTGCCACTAGGGAGACAAAGGCGGCCGGACGTGGTGCTGGCCACCTACCTCCCCATGTGCGGTTCCGGCCTTCATAGGTGCTCGCCAGCAGCATTTGCCCCAACAGTATATTAAAGGTTATACGGGGAATTGTTGTCTTTTTTTTTCTTTGTTTATGTGTGTGGGAGTGTATGTGTGTGTGTGCGTAGGCGCGGTGTGCAGTGGGAGTGTGTGGGTGTGTGCGTAGGGCCAGGTGTGTATGTGTGTGCGTGTGTGTGCGTTGGGGTGGTGTCAGTGAGTGTATGCGAGTGGGTGGGTGATTGAGAGGGGCAGGGGTGGTTGGAGGGGAGGGTTGGCGAGGGGTGTATGTGTGTGTGTGGAGGGGAGGTTACACGCGGCTGTGTGCGTTTGCGCGCTTGGGGGTGAGCCAATTAAACTCAGTACGCCAGCCAATCGCCAGTTGCGCCCGGGCTCGACCCCCACCGCGTCCACGCGAGGGGTGGTGGCTCAGGTTACGGCTTCTCGAAGCGGACAGAGCGAGAGAGAGAGAGAGACGCCCCCGGATTCACGCGCACTCGCTCGCTCACCTGCCGACACGAGCTCCACAAGCTCCTGTTGGGACATCTCATTGAACACCATCGAGGCGACAGGTTTTTTTTCTTCCTCCTTCTTCTCAATTGAACCGGGCTCCATTGTTTGATCAGCTCATTCAATTGCCTCCCCCACCCCATCCATCCCATTGGAACTAAATTCACACCAGCGTGGAAGTAATTTCGGACGCAGGTGGCATTAATTGGCAGGGGGGAGGGGGAGGTCAGGTGACAAAAAAACAAGAATAGAGTTTAAAAAAAAAATCGCATTCGGAGGTTTTCGCGAAGCAGAGAAGAAGGGAGAGGGGACAGGAGTAGGAGCAGGGGCAGGCAAAGGTGCAAGAGGACATCAGCCGCCTAGCCGAGAGCGAACGCCGTAGAACAAACTCGTCTACCCGGGACCCTAAACCCATCCCGTCCAACACCCCGAGATGGCGAACGCCGCTCTGCAGATTGCCGGGATCGCCCTGGGAATCCTGGGCTGGATCGGCAGCATCGCCGTGACGGTTCTGCCGCAGTGGCGCGTCACCGCCTTCCTGCCCAACTCTGCCAACATCGTGGTCGGCCAGGTGTTCTGGGAGGGCATTTGGATGCAGTGCGTCTCGCAGGCAACGGGCCAGCAGCAATGCAAGGTAACGGTCACATCTCTCTCTCTCTCGCTGTGGTATCGAGGTGCACCTAGCCTGGCACAGGCGGCCGGGCGTGGTGCTGGCCACCCCCACCCTCTCGCGTGCAGTGGTCGGCCTTCATAGGTGTTCGCTAACAGCACTTGCCCCAACATCCTGCTACGGGCGAACGGCGGTTTTCGTGTGTGTCACGTTTATTTTTCAATGCCTACAAAGATCACCCGTATAGACTTGAACAGAATGTTGGGGCAAGCGTTGTTGGCGTGGCAGCACCTATTTTTAACGCTGGCGCGATCCACAAGGGAGTGATGGGGCCAAGACCAGGCCCGGCCGCCTTTGTCTCACCAATGTAGATTTTTTTTTACCAACACCACACCATTGTAATAGTTTTAAGGCCGAGTCGATCTAGGGGAAGTTGAGAACCGCTTCCAGATATTTCGTGTGCGGGAATCGAATTAGGGTCGCCCGGATTTGGTAGCGCAGCGCTCTAACCACGACACGACCGCTCCCAAAAGACAAACTTTCCCGCCCGTATAGCCTTAACATATTGTTGTGGCAAGTGCAATGATCGATTAGCACCTAATGAAGGCCGGCACGGCACACGAGTGGGGTGGGTGTGCCAGCACCACGCCCGACCGCCTTCGTCACCCCCCGCGGCGATGTTTACACGTCGCACCAGGTACTACTTTTTTGAGGCCGAATCGACCTAGGGGTCGCCCAGGACCGGTTCAAATATTCCTCACCGGTGTTGGTGGCCAGGTTGGGAGCGCGGCGCGCTAACCACTGCACCACTGCTCTCCGCGGGCACCAAAGCGATAGGGTAGTTGCTCCCTGGGGGGCTGGAGGGGGGCCCGGGGGGGCATGGGGCTGGGGGGACCGGGGGAGGGGGTCCCCCAATAGTCCACTCGGGATATGCGCCGCGGTGCGCTGGTGACGAACGCGAGTTTCGCCTGCGCGAGGTATCTGCGCATATGCTGCCAACGCGGCATCTACAGACTCTGCGGCATCCACAGACGGCTGCTTGCCCAGTCGTCATAACTATTTATCGTTCATAATCAACGTTGTTGGGTTTAGATCGTGTTTATTTATAAATTTATCGTAACCCTCCACCACCCGACACGGCCAATCGGTAAAAAAGTGTCACGTTGACAAAAGACAAATAGTTCACTGCTTTAGCCCACCGGTGTGTTGAAGCGTAAAACCACAACATTAACAAATTGAGTACGACGTTTCGCTGATAATTAATTGCATCCATCATCATCGGGCAATTCGCCAGAATTGATTGGCCGTGTCGGGTGGTGGAGGGTTACGACACATTTATAAATAACGCGATCTAAACCCAAAAACGTTGATTATGAATAATATTGGTCGCGAAAGCCTACGTATATATCGTTATTGGCCACGATCTATAATCCACTGCCACACGAATGCCTCCCGCCGCGCCCACCCCCAGCCCACCGTGCCCGCGTGGGTTTTATTTGACCATACTTGCCCAGCGCCGGTCAGTGCGGTGTTGGTAAAAGAAAAGGCGATCTGAAGAGAGGGCGTTTTGGACCGATTCCGCTCTCAGGGGCCACGTTAGCCGTGGCCCCCAATCGGACTCGCGTTGGCTGGGTTCGTAGCGCGCTGCGCTAACCGCTGCGCCACCGCTCCACAACGTCGCCATTCGGTAGCTGGTCCACCTTGTAATTAATTATGGCTGTAACGCTGCGACGATTATGGGCGATTTTTAATGAACCGTGTTTAGCGATCCTGCATTGGCAGTAGTGCACAAAGCACCGCTGAACAACTCCACCCCACATTCCGTGTTCGTGTCGCTGTGGGTTTATACTAAAATAACGCAATTTGGAGCATATGCGCCGTTTTCCCGCGATGGCACTTCCTGATGGCACATTGAAAGACGCGGTTGTTTCACACTGCGCTGGTGGTTGTAGCGGCCTCCAGTGGCTGGAGGTTGGGAGAATTGGGGAGTCTAATGTTGCCGATTTAACACACGCGCCGTATTCGAATGGAGCCCCCCCCCACTTGCTCGCACTGCCACACGTCTCGCGGCCGCTGAGATTATTTTTGTTTTGTTTTCGCATCTCTTCAAGTGATCCACGAACCCTTGCCTCCCAAGCAAATATTTTTAAGTTTGGGGCTGTCCATAAATGACGTCACGCGGCTGGGGGGGGGGGGGGGGGGGGGTGGGGGGTCAGACATTTGTGACGATGTGTGACGAGGGGGAAGGGAATGAGAAATGTGACGTCACATCAAAATGCGCAACTTTAAATAAATATAGGCAACACGTTCTACATAATTAAATTTACGTTTGAATAAATGTTTTCTCCTATAACGTCAGAGTGCAGCGCCACATTAAATACGCACTACAATGACAATAGTTTAAAGCGATTTGAAGCATGTTTTATTTTCAAAATGGAAATATGGTTTTGGGGAGTGGGGGGGCAGAGCTTTGTGACGTCATATTTGAGGGGGGCGGGGTCAAAAATCGTCCAAAATCGCGGCGTGACGTCATTTATGGACGGCCATTTTTCCACAATTAATATGACCACCATTCGAAGTTCCGCACAACTTGGTTCATGAACACACTCGACATGTTCTGTTGTATCCGTGTTCTGGCGACCTCCAAAAAAAAAAGCGCCCGTCCATTCTAAAAATAACTATAAAAAAATTGACATACAACAACTGGTTCCGAATGCGTTCTCGCAAGAAACCGGTTTTATCCGCGCCGTGACGCGACGCGACGCAACCGTGCTACACATCATTCAGCCGTTGCCTCGGTTAGTGCGGCGTTTCCACTGGCATTCGTGATCCGTGCCGTGCCAGGGCCGGGACGATCCCGGAACTATCCAGCACGGCTCGGGGTCCATACCCCCCCCCCCACCGCCGCCTGCCCACCCCCACCACGTGGTTCGGAAAATGACACCGCAAATGTCTCGATTCGAGTTTACACGGCAGTCATTCTGTTCCATTTTATAATTCATCAGGTGAGCAGACCTCGCCTGAAGTGGTCACGAGGATGAGTGGGGGGGTGGGGGGGGGTCTTTCCTGGGTAACCTGAATGGGGAATCGGTGTGTGTGAGTTCGATTCCCGCTCACGGCAGACACCAGTGACGATTATCTGAACCAGTCCTGGGCCTCCCCTGGGTCGACTCAGCCTCATGAGTACCTGGCGCGATGTGTTAACATCGCCACTAGGGAGACAAAGGCGGCCGGGCGTGGTGCTGGCCACCCCCACCCCCTCGCGTGCAGTGGTCGACCTTCATAGGTGTTCGCTAACAGCACTTGCCCCAACATCCTGCTACGGGGCTATACGGGGGATATTTGTCTTTGTTGCTCCTTTTGATGTTGTGAAGCCGCGTGAAGTATATTAATGATTAATTGAGGGCAGAGTTGGGGAAGGGGGGGGGGTCTGAGGGTCAGGTGCGTGGAGGCAACGCCGCTCGAGGTCCACGGTTTGAATAGCAAGTTTCTCCAGACGCCGCTCGATATTTATTTAAAACGGGGGGAGGGGGGGGTCTCAGGTGTTTCGAGGTGAGGTTTGTTGATGGATGGTCTCGGTCCGATCAACAAATCGCCGATGTGAAGATCGCTTTCAGTGGTCGCTTCAATCTCGGGAGGCACAAGCCAGAGCGACAACGTCCAACTCGACTCGATGTAGGAAAAGGCGATTTTGTCCGGACAGATCTCACACTCCGTCCACTGCCCCCACCCCCCCTCGTTTCCCCGTACTGCTAATTAAATGTTTGCGAAAACAAGACTCTCTTGGGGGTAAAGTGTTTGTTTTTGGTTCTTCACAATCCATGCGTACGCACGATTTTTATTGCCCCCCCCCCCTCCCACCGTTGTATTAAATGCGTGCTGACCACGTGGGTTCATACAGCAGTGCCCCCCTCCACCCTTCCCCTGCACCACCGATTAGCACGGTTGGCTTACATACGGTGCGAAAGAAGTTAAACATACACACAGTACGTACATAGACCCTTGCATCATCACCCCCTCCCCCACACACATCTCGCTTCTACATCTGGGCAATCTCCTTTATTCACAGCGGCGAGATCTCTTAACCAGGAAGGAGCGTTTCCCCGAAACGTCACCAACTCGATACAGTATTTATAGATTTGTATTCGGGCCGCAGTGTAGCCGGCGAATGTGCGGAGTGATTTGTTGGTTTGTGGGTTGTGCGCCACTGCCAAACGCAGCAACAACAATCTCGCCACAACAATCGCAACCGCGAACGGCTTCTAGAGCAACCAACTACCACGAGCAGTAGAGCGGTGGCGCAGTGGTTAGGAGCGCACTACCATCCATAACTCTCGCTACGAGCCCGGCGACTCTGATTCAATATCACGGCTCGCATCGGTGACTAGTCTTATTCCGCCCTCCCTTTTATTTATCACCCAGCCTGGGTGAAGTATGGCACCAACGGCCCCCCCCCCCCCCGTACCCGCTACCCCCAATGGCGGAGCCAGGGTTTTCAGGTAGGGGGTGGGGGAAACCCCTCCAGCAATGAAAAATGATAGAGGAGGTGTAAGTAAGGACTTGTCCCTTGTTTTTTAGTCGACGCGTGTGTGGCGATGGCGCAGCCATCGATCGAGGGTTAAATTCGAACCGCGTTGTGTGATCGGCATCGCGCTCGCTGAAGGTGTTGATGCCTTCAGGGAAGTCGTGTGCTGTAGACGCAACTGCGCACAATTCTGTGAGTCACTTATAACTGCTTTGCCGTTACTTAATTGCCAATTATGGACTCCGACTATTGTCCTATCATCTCATAGCGTCCCTGGCTCGTAATAATATGCTGCACAGTGGCAGTGGGGGTCGCAAAATGCCGATGTATTACTAATAAACCCCAATGATCTGATAGAAATTAAGGATTTCGATGGGATCATTTGGGGGGGCACGTGCCACTACCCCCCCGCCCCCACTGGCTCCTCCACCCCAATTGACCCACTCTCGTTCCGTGTGACTGCCCCGGCGTGCACAGGTCTACGACTCTCTGCTGGCGCTCACGCCGGACATGCAGGCGGCGCGCGGCCTCATGTGCGTGAGTGTGGCTCTGGGCACCCTGGCCATGCTCATCGCGACCCTGGGCATGCAGTGCACGCACTGCGTCGAGAACGAGCGCGCCAAGGCGTACATCGCCATGTCGGGCGGCTTCCTCTTCATCCTCGCCGCCCTCATCGTGCTCATCCCCGTGTGCTGGACGGCCAACGCCATCATCCGCGACTTCTACAACCCCAGCGTGCCCGAGGCCCTCAAGCGTGAGCTCGGTGGAGCCCTCTACCTCGGCTGGATCTCGGCTTCATGCTGGTGGCCGGAGGGGCGCTGCTCGCCTGCTCGTGCCCCCCCAAGGACGAGCCCGGGTACCGCCCGGCGAAGAGCGGCTACGCGGTGTCAGCGCCGCGCACGGTGCCAGACACGCACCAGCCGCGGAGAGCCATGAGTACCACTTACTCCATGAAGGAGTTTGTGTAAGGTGGGTAGGGGAGGGGGGTAGACAGACGGGTTGATTTTGTGGGGGTGGTTTGGATGGATGCGGTGGGGTTGAAAGTGTGGGTTATGCATCTGTGCCCGGGATGAGTTGTATGTTTCGTACTGTCACGGCATAGCGTCCATCGACGGCATTGCTGTGCCATGTTAGAGGAACAAAAACAAGTTTTGCTGGCTGGGGGACGCGCACGCGGGCAAGTGTGCGGCGGTGACGTCGCCGCGCAAATCTGCAAATCTGCGCGGCGACGTCACCCGCATCGAGTCCTGAACTATTCGAAATATGAATAAAAGTTTGTGAATTCGGATTTTTTTTTTAAGGACGATTTTAGATTTTCTTGTTTGGATAACTTGCATCGTGTACAAAAGTGATGGGTGTAACGGTCTGCGGCGCACTGGACGTGCGATCCGATGCTCGATAAACAACACGAGGGAGACTCTTCAAACGAAACAAACAAAAATCTATTAGTCAAATAGCTTCCCTGCGGGTGGGGGAGTAATAATCGATACGACGACGATTATATAAATATTTGCGACGGCACGATCTCCTAGAGGTGGCTCTCTCCCTCTCTGGCACTCCCTGCTCTCATAGCAGAGGGGCCTAGAGGTGGCTCTCTCCCTCTCTGGCACTCCCTGCTCTCATAGCAGAGGGGCCTAGAGGTGGCTGTCTCCCTCTCTGGCACTCCCTGCTCTCATAGCAGAGGGGCCTAGAGGTGGCTCTCTCCCTCTCTGGCACTCCCTGCTCTCATAGCAGAGGGGCCTAGAGGTGGCTGTCTCCCTCTCTGGCACTCCCTGCTCTCATAGCAGAGGGGCCTAGAGGTGGCTGTCTCCCTCTCTGGCACTCCCTGCTCTCATAGCAGAGGGGCCTAGAGGTGGCTCTCTCCCTCTCTGGCACTCCCTGCTCTCATAGCAGAGGGGCCTAGAGGTGGCTCTATCCCTCTCTGGCACTCCTTGCTCTCATAGCAGAGGGGTCGTTCCACCAGCAGTGGAGTTGAGCAGGGAATTGCAGGGCTGCGCCCTTTTCCCCTTGGATTGACTGGCCACTCAAAACTTCGTGCACAGTCGCTTGGGGGGGGAGGGGGGGACAAATGCAGTGGCGGTCGTGGTTCGGGTTTTTTAAAAGAATATTATAATTTTCGTGTGTTTTTAAAAAAAAATGGAAAAAGACGGGTCACGTGGGGCTTTCTTGCGTCTCCTGCACCGAGAGGGATCCTCCTCCACGCGTCACGGTGGCGGGCGACGCACGGACGCCGCTTAAACTCCACTCGACCGCCCGACTCTAGGCGGTTTTATTCGGGAGGTGGGGGGGGGGGCGACGGACTTGATTATCACGTCCAGGACGCTGCTGTGTAGGAGGAGTAAGGAGGTAAGAGGAGGAAGGGGTGGATTATGTCGAGTGACGTTTATATCAAGATTGGGACAAATATACAATCTCTTGTTCACGTGACACGCAGCAGAGAATTATTCCTCTGGTGTGCTTTTTTTCTTTTGGGGGGGATGATTGTCCAACGTTTCGCTGCCCACGTGCTGTGGGAGTCTCTTTGGGAAAACAAGCTCACGTGGAACGAGACCTGAAGGAATGGACAACAGAGGCGCTGATTTGTTTTGATAGGTGAAGATGGTTCCTAATGCTGTTGGAAATCAACGTGTGTATACCAGGAATTAAATTTCTCAATTAATATGCTCGGAGTCGTTGGGAGGAGGCCGTGGTATGTGACTGGGTCGCAGCCACGGATGGAGAGAGAGAAGATTATGGATGTGGTGTGCCGTGTACTGGAAACATTGTTTTGCTTGTCACCGACCCGGCTGCCAAATGTTAGTTCTGCTTGTATATTGCAACCGAGTAGTAGTCGTAGTAGTCACCGCCATAGCGAGGGGTATACTTGATGTGGTGTGCTCGGGTGGTGAGCTGTATATCGGAGTTGGCCGTCGTGCGCGCGTGAAGTTCGCTTTTTATATTCGTTGGTCACGAGTGGCGCTGGTCGATTCCTACACTCACACACGTCATCGTATTTCTTTACTGCTGTACTTGTAACGTTTTTCAGCTGTTTTATTTTTTTTTATAAACTACGTACACTTATTTCTGGGTGTTTTTAAAGGTGGGCGGGGGTGGATATTTTTGTTGATATTAATATTACTGCTACGACAATTTTATTTTTTTATATTATCCGCTTGAGTCATTATCTTGGAACTCGTTCGGAAGTTCACAAATCCGGGGTGTGAGAGTGTGCGCGTGGCTCGGCCCATCATCATCGCATCTGTAGGGTCCGATAAAATGCATGCCGCTTCCTTGAACAGCGAGGAGGGGGGGGGGTAGAGAAAGAAAAAAATGAACCGGAAGCTCGTATTTGTTTTGGATGTTACTGGGTTCCCGCCATAAGAATGGGGAATTTCTATCGCACGTGCGGGTGTTCTTTTGGGTTCGGGATGACACTTTGGCATAACGATGACAGATTCGTTCGTTGTCCCTGATCTGTCGCCCACCCAGCATCGCCATTCACCGACCTGTGCCTTTTTTTTGTACTCGTGGCTCATTCCGTGTGTATATAATAATAACAATAAAACTTGCTTTCGTTTGCCCGGAACCGCAAGCTCAACCTTTCTCTTGTAATGGTGCTACCGGTTTTACGCGCGCGCACGCACGCACACACCACGGGGAGTCGAGTCAAAACGAACGTACGGATGAAGAGAGAGGAACGGGAGTGAGCGAGGGAGGGGGCGAGAGAATGGGAGGTGAGGGGAAAGGAACGGAGAAACGAGAGCACGGGGTCGGAAGAGATGAGGATCGAGAGGAGAAGGAGGAGCCCAAGACGAGACGTGGCTCAAGAGCAGCAAGAGTCAAACTTTTAAGTTTTTAGAATATTTGGCTGCTATAAATTTGCATGTGATAAGCCACTTCGTTGGGCTATCATTTGTGGCCAAGTCACTTATGAAGGCAAAACAAGCTACTTGCACCATTGGTACCTCATTTGCCAGTAAAAAATATGATATTTGGTTTTTTACCCTTTTATCTGGCAACAAAACTGGCACCATTTTTTTACGAGGAGTCATGTTTGCATAGACCACAATACCTGCAGCCATAATGCAAACAAAAACATAACTCTAATGTATGCACTATCCTTGAAATTGATTGGTCCACACCCGAGACAGCTTTCCTTAGAGCCTAGTCTCACATGGGTTTGGACCAGATGACGCCTAAAGGCACACAACTCAAAGACAATGCACCATCGGAGTATGAGACTCTTATGACTGCAGGTATTGTGGTCTATGCAAACATGACTCCTCGTAAAAAAGGTGTCGGTTTTTTTGCCAGATAAAAGGGTAAAAAAACAATTATAAAGTTACTTGCAGCTTGGTGGGCCTTACCTGGTAAAAAAAAAAGTTGAAATAAATATAGTTACATTTCCCGAGTACGGCCAAATAAGCTAAGAAGAAAGGGAGGGAGCGCTGGGCAGAAAGGGGAGGAGGAGAAGGGATGAGCGGGGCCACGAGATCGGATATGAGGATGATGAGAGGGAGCAGACGCGCAACAATCGCTGTACAGATGGAATGCAAGTTGAGGTCAACCCACTTGCTGTGCTGCCATACTCTGGACCAGCTCGGAGACGAAGACCTCGAGGGATGGCTGCACGAATTTGCGTGCGATCCACCAATTAGTGTAGCGGAAACCGACACGCCCGGTGAAAACCCCACACGTGCGAGGGCGAAACCCTGTATCCCACACACAGTGAAGAGGGGGGGAGACCACATTTGCTGGTGCCGTTGCTTGGCCAGTCAATGGGACACGGTACCACCTCGACGCCTACGGGAAGGGAGTTTCACAACGTCTGTGTGTGTAGGCTCTCGGCAAGGTAAGGTAATTGTACCCTTTTTACCGGGTAAAAGTGTAAGGTAAAGGTGTCGACATGCCAAGGGGTAAGGGTAAAGGGTAGGGTAAAAGGTAGGCTCGTTGTTTTTACACTTTTACCTTACCTTGCCGAGGCCTATGTGAGTGTGTGGCTTGGACACGTGCGCCGCGGTAGTGTAGCGGTTAGCGCGCTGCGCTATGAACCTGACGACCCGGGTTCGATTCCCGCTCACGGCCAACATCAGTGACGTTATCTGAACCGGTCCTGGGCCTCCCCTAGGTCGACTCGGCCTTAAATGAGTACCTAGTGCGGTGTGTGAACATCGCCACTGGGGAGACATAGGCGGTCGGGCGTGGTGCTGGCTACCCACCCCCTCGTGTACCGTTCCGGCCTTCATAGGTGCTTGCTAACAGCACTTGCCCCTACAGTCTGTTAAGGCTATACGGGGGATCTTTGTCTTTGTGATCCACCAATCCTCGCAGATGCTGTCTCCAGAGTGCCTGATCACAGCTGTGCCGCGTGCGCCGGTCCCGTGTCCCTCTCCGCGAGCTTCCTAACACCGAGGCGTCTTGAGTAAAGGCTGTTCAAAGTACGTGACCCAGAGGGTCCAATTGTTCAGGACAGTGCCGACTCATCCATACTAAGTTCAAACACCGCCACTGCAGGTCAAAGCACATCTCTTATCTAGCTTCTTTCTTCACCCTCCTGACCAGTGGTCAGTCGCCTCGTAATCACTCTTCTATCGCTGTGACCAGGGATAGTGTTCCCATGAACTTCACTCGTTAATTACACCCCCCGTGTTGACCACTCGGTCTACACCACCACGCACTGGCTGCTTTGTCTCATTCACCACCACACTGCGTTCAACCACCAGCACCAATCCAATCCAATAGGTCTGTGTCTCGAGATATTTTTTTCGTGTCTTACGAGGTCAACTGTGGGGTTTGCAGCGCCTGGAATTACTTAATCGGCCAAATCCTTGAGTGGCAATCATTGCAACAGTAATTGCAAATGAATGCGGTAGCGGCTCCAGCGGTGTTTGTTGCTTTTTCTTTACGTGGTCCCCTCTTGGTCTGCCAAGCAGTGTGTCTTTACTCCTCCCCTCTCCTGAGGCCTCTTTTTCATAGCCTCCTGCCAGCTAGGTCAGTCGCCGGCAGTTTGCTCCCAACTCACCTGGGTGGATGTGGCAGTTCTTCGTGTCGCGTTTGCAGACATCTTTGCAGCGCAGGACCGGGCGACCAGTGGCTCGTGTGACTGATGCCAGCTCGCCGTACAAGACATCCTTTGGTATTCTGCCATCCTGCATGCGGCGCACGTGTCCAAGCCATCTCAGGCGCCTTTGAATGAGTAGAGAGTCCATGCTGGGAATGTTGGCCATGCTGAGGACTGAGATGTTGGGAATGTGACATTGCCATCTGGTGCGTAGCACGACGTTTGGTGCCAGTTTGGCTGCAGGTGCCGCTGTGCATCACAAAACCGCCTACGATGCCCCACTCTTGATTTTCTGTCGGGGTTTACTCCCTTAGCCTTTGACTCTCCCGAGACACTCACAAGGCAGTGAGAGGACCGCGTGACCCTGGGCGGTGCCCTTACCAGGTACTGAGAGCCAGGCCAGCTGTGCCTGACACTCGCGTAAGGCAGGTTCGTCACGCCCTGAGGTAGTCGTCGTGAAGACACACTTAAGCGGTGTGCTTTCGCCAAGTTGTCCCCACCTGAAGAAGGATGCTTGTATTGCGCCCGAAACGTCGTGATTTTTTTAATTTTTTACCTACGTGACTTTACCGAAAAAAAACAAAGAGTATGAATCCTTGCAGTCACGAAAACTTAAAATCTAGAACTGAGGTAGTTTGTCGTACCACACCACCAGCAGCACCACCACACTGTGTTGAACCATCACCACCATCACTACTGCCGCCACCACCACACTCGTAAACTACCACACCACCAACACCACCACACTGTGTTGAACCACCATCACACTCGTAAACTACCACAGCACCACCACACTGTTGAAACACCACATTGTGTTGAACCATCACTACCACACTGTTGAACCACCATAACCATCACTACTACGACCACCACCACCACCACACTGTTGAACCACCACCACAGTGTGTTTATCCACCAGCATCACACTGCAGGTCACAGCAACACACTCACGTCTGTAATAATAATGATAATACTATAATTGTAAACGTGACAATCTTGTCAGGTGGGTGGGGTCGCTCACTACAAAATGATTTTAGGGATAGAACTACCAACACGTGACCTAGCCCACACATTATATAAACACAAACGTGTGCATCTTCTTAGATAATCAAAAATGCTGAGCTTACATTTGTTTGAAGAATGTTAACAATCAGGTTTGTTAAACGAAAACCGGGAAAACCGGTTAAACGTTTGTCGAATCGAGTAACCGGTTCGGATGCAGTGGATTTTTTGCCGTGAATGCGACCGACATGGGCAGGCGAAGCAGTGACCTCTGGGCTTGCAAGTCCAGTGCGCTGACCACCATCACCAAAGACAATGACAAAGCTCCCCCGTATAGCCTTAAAATCCTTTTGGGGCAAGTGCTGTTAGCGAGCACCTATGAAGGCAGGCACAGCAAACGAGGGGCCGGGTGTGCGAGCACCACATCCGTCCGCCTTTGTCTCCCCAGTGGCAATGTTTACAAAGCGCACCCGTTAGTCATTTGAGGCTGAGTCGACCTAGGGGAGGCCCAGGACTGATTCAGATAATCGTCACTGGTGTCGGCCGTGAGCTGGAATCGAACGCTGACAGCTATCAGCACCCCACACCCCAACCACTGCCGTAGCAGCTGCCGTCGCTTCTCATTTACAAAAAGGTTCAAAGGTGTTAACGTGTATCGCTATACACCTTCTCCATAGTGTGCGGAACAACAGCCAACCGGTTTTAACCGGTTCCCCACCATTCATTGAAAACCGGAGGCCCTGGAGAAGAATCCACGCGACCACGGGGAGAACTCAAAATATACAACAGGCTTCAGGGTCGGGATCGAACCCACGATCTGCATTCCAGGCGAGGCAGTTGACATATCGACACCACACAAGGACCCATACACTCACAGAGACCCATAGACTCACATAGAGATCCATAGACTCACAGAGACCCATAGACTCGCAGAAAGATCCATAGACTCACAGAGACCCATAGACTCACAGAAAGATCCATAGACTCACAGAGACCCATACACTCACAGAGACCCCTAGACTCACAGAGAGATCCATAGACTCACAGAGACCCATAGACTCGCAGAAAGACCCATGGACTCACAGAAAAACCAATAAACTCACAAAGAGACCCCTCGGACTCACAGAAACCCATAGACTCAAAGAGAGATCCATAGACTCACAGCGAGACCCATAAACTCACAGAAAGACCCATGGACTAAAAGAGAGACCCATAGACTCTCAGAGAAACCCATAGACTCGCAGAAAGACCCATAAACTCACAACAAAACCCCTCGGACTCACAGAGACCCATAGACTCAAAGAAAGACTCATAGATTTATAGAAAGAACCATAGACTCACAGAGAGACCCATAGACTCACAGAGAGACCCATAGACTAACAGAGAGACCCGTAGACTCACGCAGACTGAGCTACGATTAAAACCGAGTTCTCCAACGTAGCAAGTTGACGCTCTGAGCCCGGTCACACACTCAACAACCCCTGCTCATGTGAAACGTGGTTCTGCACTTACGCCGGCTGCAT